CGTGGCTCCGGAAACTGGAAATACACGCACGTCAAGGCTGGGGACGCTGGGGACCAGGAGGCCTGACTCCAGCTCATTGTCTCCGTCCAAACAGAAGCCAGGCCTGCAGCTGTGCTCATGACCCTTCAGAATCACAGCACCTGGGAGTGTGACAGACCTCAGAGGACTTCTCCCTCTGTCCCCGCCGTGCGTTTCAGTGTAGCTCAGTCGCCGCCGGACGGGGTGATGGGGGCCATCACGGCCTCCCCCCCATTTCCTTTGGGAACGCGATTGTGGGTCCGTGGCTGAGGCTGTGCGTCAGGTCTGAATCCTGTCACTACAACGAGCTAGTTCTGTGACCCCGGGCAGGTTGTTTAATTCCAGCGCTTGTTCCTTGGGTGCGCAGTGGCGTCGACAGCACCCGAGCGGCCGCAGTGATTCAGGGGCGAATGGTGGGAACACTCACGTGTACCACTCGGTACATGCTGCCCTGTGCCTTTCCCACCTCTGCTCTGTTTCTCAGTAACTCCGGTCTTTGAAACAGTTTTTATTGTAAAATACACGTAACATAAAATTTATCTTAACTATTTTTATATTGATTTTTTTTCTTTTTCTGGAGCGAGAGGAAGGAAGAGAGAGATGGAAACATTGATGTGAGAGAGAAACACAGATCGGTTGCCTCCTGCACGCCCCCTCCTGGGGATCGAGCCCATAACTCAGGCGTGTGCCCTGATCGGGATTCGAACTGGGATCCCTGAGCCACACCGGCTGGGCTTATAACTGTTTTTAACTGTACAGTTGGATGGTATGAAGTATATTTACAGTGTACATCATAATGTTGGTAACGTTTACAATGAGTGACCGTCATCACCATTTCCATCACTCTTTTCATCTTGTGAAACTAGAATTCTGTACCACTGAACAGTAACCGGCCAGCCTCCCCCACAGCCCCTGGCAACCCCCGATCCGCTTCCTCTGTGAAGTTGACTACCCAGGGGGACTCAGATGAGTGGAATCATACACCACCTGTCCTTCTGTGTCTGGCTTCCTTTTGCATCACCTACTGTCTTCAAGGTTCATTCATAGTGTAGCATGTTTCAGAATGCCTTACTTTTTAGGGCTGAATAATATTCCATTGTACATATTTGTTTATCCACGGATCCACTGATGGACATTTGGGCTATTGAGAACAGTGCTGCTAAGGACATGGGTGTACACGTATCTGTTCATGTCTCTGCTCTCAGTTTTTTTGAGAGTATCAACCCAGCACTGGAATTGCTGGGATCACATGGTAATTCTGTTTTTAGTCTTTCGAGAAGCTACATGCTGTTCACTACTGCAGCCTCACGATTTTGCATTCCCACCGACAATGCATAAACGTTCCGAGTTCTCCGGAGCCTTGCCAGCATCTCTTGTTATGTGTTTTTTTTAAAAAAAAAAAAAATATTGTAGCCATCCTAATGGGTGTGAGGTGTATCTCCTTGTAGTTATGATGTTCACTTCCAGAATGATTAATGACAGTGAGACTCTTTCCATGTGCTGATTAGCCATTTGTATATATTCTTTTGAGAAATGTCTTTTCTAGTCCTTTGCCCATTTTGTAATCAGGTGGTTCATTTGCTTTTGTTGCTGAGTTTTAGGAAGCTTCTGCATATTCTGGGGGTTAATCCCTTACCAGACATGGGATGTGAACATATTTTCTCCCATGGTGTGGGTTGCCTTTTTACTCTGTTAGTTTCTTTCAATGCACAGATTTTAAAAATTTTCATGAAATCCAACTGGTGTATTTTTTCTCTTGTTGCCTGTGCAAGAAATTGCTGCCAAACCCAGTGTCATGAAGCTTTTGAACTACATGTTCTTCTAAGAGTTGCATAGTTTTAGGTCTTACCTTTAAGTCTTTGGTGCATTTCGAGTGGATTTTTTTGGTGTTGGGTAAGGTCCAACTTCATTATTTTGCAGGTAGATATCCGAATTTCCCAGCACCATTTGATGAAAATATTGTGCTTTCCCATGGAATGATCTTGACACCCTTGTCACAAACCACTTGACCACTCGTGAGGGTTTCTTCTTGGGCTCACTGTTCTGTCCCGTTGGTCTGCATGCCGTCTCGTGCCACACTGTTCTGACTATGGTAGCTTTATGGTAAGTGCCAAAGGGACACTTAATTCCCTTAAAGGAACAGACTGTTCCCTTGACTACTCTTACAACGTTTTTATACACCAGTAATTAATATGATGGTAGTAAGTGTTTTAAAGGTGTATAAACAGATCCAAAAGAACATCCATCCAGTTGTTATTATCAGTATTGGCATATGTACATCGTGTCTTATTATTACACTGGTTTCTTTTTAAAAAAAATTTTTTTCTTTATTGATTTTAGAGAGAGAGGAAGGGAGAGGGGAGAGAGGGAGAAACATGGACGAGAGGGAACATCAGATGGCCGCCTCCTGCAAGGCCCCACTGGGGAGCAGGCCCACAACCTGGGCCTGTGTCCTGAACCGGGGATTGAACTGGCGGCCTCTTGGTGCCTGGGTTGATGCTCAACCAGTTTCCTTCTGTATAATGTGCTAAATGAGGTCCACGGAAGGACAAAGGTGATGTACGTGCTAATTCATATTTATTTCACGTTCTCACCGCACATGGACCCCGGCTCCGCAGTCCTCACGAGGTGCGTGGTCATGACCAGAGGCGGAGATTCACAGAGCACCTTTGTCCAGGTTTAGGTAGTTGACTCAGAAAGGTGCAGTGTCGCCTGTAGGGAGGGGGAGGGGAACATATATGTAACGCCTATTAAACAAGCGATCGTTGGAGATTCTGAGCTGGATTTAGTCTGAAATAAGTGAGTCAGGTTGCTCCAGCGTGTTATCAACAGCCACTTCCGACAGTGATAAGGCAGCTGGTTACTGATCTGGAAGGAAAAGAGGTTCTGGGTAAGCAGCTTTCACAGACGAGAAGGCGCGGCCGGACCTCGGGAGACTGGAACGGCTGCTGAGTGGGGGATGTGGCTCTCCTGGGGGACGGGCGAAGCCAGCGGGTTCTCAGGCAGCATCACGGGACAGCGGTACGCTCTACACATATGTGTGCATGTGTGTTTGCGTGTGTGCGCATGTGCATGTGCGTTTGCGTGTGTGTGATTAATAGCCTCTTCAGCTTTCTGGTCTGTGACCCTTTTCCACTTTTTTTTTTTGATCCTCACCCGAAGATATTTTTCTATCTTTAGACAGAGTGGGAGGGGAGGTGGGAAAGAAACATCGACTGGCTGCCTCCTGCACGACCCCGACCAGGGCCAGGGATGAACCGCAACCGAGGCCCATGCCCTTGACCGGAATCGAACCTGCGACTCATTGGTCCGCGGGCCGACGCTCTACCGCTGAGCCCGACCGGCCAGGGCGACCCTTTTCCACTTTAAAGAATTATTGAGACTCCAAGATGCTTTGCTTACGGGGCTCATCTCCATCAACTTATACCATTTCCAGAACTAAAACGGAGAAACGTAAAAGTACTTATTGATTCACCAAAAGATAAACAAACACATTGCATGGTAACATCAACATATTTTTATTTAAAAATGATGTTTAAAAAAAAAACCACAACGAGAGGGGTGTTCCTGTTCCCCGTCTTGCCCGTCTCTAGTGCCCAGCTTGGGGGATCACGCTGGGGCGCTTGTGCTCACGTCTGCGCGACCTGTTGCGACCGGTTGCGACGTGTCGTCTGAGTGGAAGCGCACGAGGAGCTCGAACGACCAGACATGTAGCTGACATAGGAGGGCCGGGCAGCGCCCATGAAAGGGGCTCTGGGACTCTGGGGGTCCTTGGGTCACGTTGAGAACCCCTGTCCTACGAAGTATTTGGAGGGGCAGATGAGCGGAGGGACCGTCAGTGAACCAGTTGTTTTACTTTTCATTTATTCTGCAACAGGGACAAATTACTTGTGCACCTTGCACACGAGAAAGGAAGCAGCGTGAGTATGTTGAGGAAAGATTGTGCCCTAGAGACCGAGGGGGGAACGTTCATATCTGGGAAACCAAAGAGCCACTGTGATTTCTTTTTTTATCCTCACCTGAGGACATTTTTCCATTTTCTGTTCAGGTGAAGTAGGAGGGGGGGAGAGAGAGAGAGAGAGAAACATCGACGTGAAGGGACACATCGAGTGGCTGCCACCCGCATTACCCAACCAGGGCCGGGGACAAACTGCAACCGAGGTACGTGCCCTTAGCGGGAACCGAACCCGGGTCTCTCTGGACCGCAGGCCGACGCTCTAACCACTGAGCCAAACCGGCCAGGGCTGTAATTTCTTAAACAGGCAAAAGACCTGTTAAAAACTGTACTTGGCTCTGGCCAGGTGGAGCACTGTCCTGTACGCCAAAGATTTCAGGATCCGTTCCCGGCCAGGGCACGTACCTCGTTTGCAGGTTTGATCCCTGGTTGGGGCACGTATGGGAGGTAACTGAACAAACATCGATGTTTGTTCTCTCTCTCAAAATCAGTAAACACATACTAAGGTGAGGATTAAAAATTTGTATTTGGGAAAAAATGGGCTAGAATGAAAAGAGATGAGCTACTTTATAGTTTGTCTCAGTAATATAGGTGAGTAGTGAGGTGGGCTCTGCCTCAGACATCGGTGAAAATGTAGAGAAAATACCGAAATTTAAAAGCAAGTTTGAAGGCAGAAATGCCCAAACTTGGATATAGGGAATAAGGTGGGGGAGGAGTTGAGATGACTAAGAGTTTTCAAGGCTAAAACATTTGAGGACTATTTTCTCCCTTGTCTTCAATTTCAACCTTTCCTGAAAAGTATCCTGATTCAGCTTCTGGAAGTCTTGTCTTGTTTTCCAGAGCTGGCCGTGCCACTCCAGGGCTTAGGAGAGAATCAACGCGCTTCCCAGCCTGAGCAGAAGCACAGGAAGATCTGCCACATCCCTGCGGAGTTGGTACCTGCGACATCCCTGCAGAGCCACCCGCTGCTCACCCGCTGGAGCCCTGCAGACAGGTTCCGGCCCCGGGCGCCCGCGGTCCGCCTCTTATGCACCCCAGCACCCCAATCAGCTCCCTCTTCTCCTTCACCAGCCCGGCAGTGAAGAGGCTGCTCGGCTGGAAGCAAGGGGATGAGGAGGAAAAGTGGGCAGAGAAGGCGGTCGACTCGTTGGTGAAGAAGCTAAAGAAGAAGAAGGGAGCCATGGACGAGCTGGAGAGGGCGCTCAGCTGCCCGGGGCAGCCCAGCAAATGTGTCACGATTCCTCGGTCCTTGGATGGGCGGCTGCAGGTGTCCCACCGCAAGGGGCTGCCTCACGTTATTTACTGCCGCGTGTGGCGGTGGCCGGACCTTCAGTCTCACCACGAGCTGAAGCCCCTCGAGTGCTGCGAGTTCCCCTTCGGCTCCAAGCAGAAGGAGGTGTGCATCAACCCCTACCACTACCGCCGGGTGGAGACGCCAGGTGAGCGGCCTCAGGATCACCGTCCGTTTGGAAAGCCACGGAGGGGTGTCCTGGTTCATGCTGATGGGGCGTTAGCGACACGGGGACCACCCCAGTCCCTGAAAGACAGCGTGGGGAAGGGGAAGAGGAGGCTCAGTTTTGAGGAGCGAATCCAAAACGTTGTAGTCGGAAAGATCTAGAAAGAATTTTCATTTCCGCACACAGGTGAACTGTGTGTGATTTTGAACAGGCAGTTTTACTTTGATACGTTGTGGAGACGTCATCGTCCTGTTTTCCCAGTTGGTGGGTTTCATGGTCTTGAAACGGCCTCGGTGTGATTAACCGTGAAAAATAAACATCGTCCGCTCTCCCTCAGCTGACCTGACTGGAGACGTTGCGTGGCTGTCGCTTTAGGGGAGGTGTCTCACTGCTGGATCTGAAAACAGCCAGAGAAAGAGTTTCTGGGACTCCTTCTAGGACCGAAAACCAGGGGGGCTGGGGGAGCTTGGCAGCTGTCCTTAAATACGGCTTCAAATATAGAAGGCCGCTGCCCGGAAACTTCGCACTCGGGGTGCGCAGGTGGGGTACACGCAGTCCCCTCCTCTGCAGAAGCCTGGTGTTGGTGTCTGTTCCCTCGCGTGGCGCTGACTGTATGTCCCTGAGCTGCGGGGACACGTCCGTGTGTGAGAGCCGCCACGCCCTGAGGGCCTACGGGCTGGCACCCGAGCTCGGACATGGTCAGGTCCTGTGGGGACGGTTCTGTGGAGGTAGACAGCCCCGTGGGAGTCCGCTGTCCCCTAGTCAAGGTTCCGAGAGCGTGACAGCCGTGCTTCGTCCCAGCCCACAGCGGGCTCAGCGAGGCGACCTCTCGGACCCCACCCCTTGCCACCGTGGAAAACTAGTCAAGGAGGCCACATGGCTGGGCAAAGGCCTCTGACAGTCACTTCGTCCCAGGACGGAGTCCCTGTACGGAGCTGGTGAGAAAGCCCCTCTGTCCTGGCGCATCTGAGGCATTTCCCCTGCATCGGGTAGGTCTTCGCTTCCTTCCGTCCTTCTCCCCTCTCTGGGGGCTCCGCAGACCCGAAGGGTCACTAGTGTCTGCGTTCACGACAGAAACCACCTGCGCGGGAACGTCTTCGTGGCTCATGGTGGTTTGGTTCCGCGCAGCTGAAGGTCATTTCGGGTGTCCTCTCTTCTTTGTAGAATCGATTTTCTCTATCGATTTTCGTTTTCTTTTATTTTTATTGTTGATGATATTACAGGTGTCCTCATTTTCCCGCCTGGGCCTACGTCCACCCAGCCTCTGCCCACTGTCCCTGTGTCCGTCACCTCACCGTGGTCTGTGTCTACGGTTGTGCGTGTATGTTCCTTGGCTAATCCCTTCGCCTTCCTTCATCCAGCCGCCCCCCCCCCCCCCCGACAGCTGTCAGTCTGTTCCATGTGTCCACGCCTCTGGTTCTATCTTGCTCATCAGATTCCACATGTAAGTGAGATCACACGGTATTTGATTTTCTCTGACTGGCTTATTTCACGTAACACGATCATCTCTAGGTCTGTCCATGCTGTCCCAAACGGTAAGATTTCTTTCTTTTTTACAACCACGTGGTATTCCATGGTGGACACATACCACAGCTTTTTCATCCATCATCTACTGATGGACACTTGGGCTGTTTCCAGATCTCAGCTATTGTAAATAGTGCTGCTACTAACATAGGGGTACATATATTCTTTCTGATTGGTGTTTCAGGTTTCTTAGGGTATATTCCTAGAAGTGAGATCTCTGGGTCAAATGGCAGTTCAATCTTTAATTTTTTGAGGAAACTCTGTACTGTTTTCCACAGTGGCTGCACCAGTCTGCATTCCCACCAGCAGTGCACTAGAGTCCCCTTTTCTCCACACCCTCGCCAGCACTTGTTGTTTGATGATTTGTTGATGGCGGCCATTCTGACAGGTGTGAGGTGATACCTCATTGTAGCTTTAATTTGCATCTCTCTGATGATTAGTGATGTTGAGCATTTTTTATATATGTCTATTGGTCATTTGTATGTCCTGTTTGGAGAAGTGTTTCTTCGGGTCCTTTGCCTGTTTTAAAATTGGATTATTTGTCTTCCTGGTGTTGATTTGAATGAGTTCTTTATATATTTTGGAAATTATCCCCTTATCAGGTGTATCACTGCCAAATATATTCTTTCATACAATGGGTTCTAATTTCATTTTGTTGATGATTTCTTTTGCTGTGCAAAAGCTTTTTAGTTTGACTCATTCCTATTTGTATATTTTCCCCTGTTTCCCTTGCCCAAGGAGATATATCTGCAAAAATATTGCTATGAGAGATTCTGAATTTTTATCTTCTAGGATTTTTGTGGTTCTGTGACCTACATTTAAGTCTTTTTTTTTTTTATCCTCACCCGAGGACATTTTTTGTTCAGATAGAGTGGGAGGGAGAAAGAGGAAGAGAGAGAGAGAGAAACATCAATGTGAAAGGGACACATCGAGTGGCTGCCACCTGCACGACCAACCAGGGCCGGGGACAAACTGCAACCGAGGCACATGCCCTCAGCGGGAACCGAACCCGGGTCTCTCCGGACCGCAGGCCGACGCTCTAACCGCTGAACCAAACCGGCCAGGGCTACATTTAAGTCTTTTATGCATTTTGAGTTTACTCTTTTATACGGCATAATTGGTCGTCTAGTTTCACTTTTTGCATGTATCTAATTTTCCCAACAGAAGACACTGCCTTTCCTCCATTACACGCTCTTGCTTCCTTTGTCAAATACTAACTGTCCGTAAAGACACTGGTTGATTTCCGGGCTCTCTGCTCTGTTCTGTTGCCCCACATGCCCGTCTCGTGCCAGTCCAGGCTGCTTTGATCACCGTGGCTTTGTAGTATAGTTTAATGTCAGGCATTGTGGTGCCTCCAACCTTGTCCTTCTTTCTCAAGCTCGCTGAGGCTTTGGGTTTTGTGTTTGTTTGTTTTTTAGTTCCTTGTAAATTTTTGGAATATTTGTTCTAGATCTGTGAAATATGCCGTTAGTATTTTAATGGGAATCACGTTGAATTTTTAGATCGCTTTGCGTAGTATAGACATTTTAATGATGTTGGTTCTTCACATCCATGAACACAACACACGTGCCACTTATTTGTGTCTTCCTCAGTTTTTTTTCCTCAATGTCATATAGTTTTCAAAGTACAGGACTTTTACCTCCTGGGTTACATTTATTCCTAGGTACCTATTTACTTACTTACTTATTTATTTTCACAACAGTAAATGGGATTGTTCTCTTCGTTTCTCTTTCTGATAGTTCATTATTGGCATATAAAAATGCTTCCCATTTCTAAAGATTAATTTTGTATCCTGCTACTTTGCCCAAATCATTTATTAGATCTAGCAGTTTTTTGGTGACGTCACACAGTTTAGTTACTGTCTAGGCCTCTGGCAAAAGCCTCCCCAGAAAGCAGAGGGCCCCTTGAAGCCACTGCTGGGTGTACCCGCAAAGCCGTCGCCGGGACCTGAGGACAGCGGTGTAGCATCTCCGAGTCCAGGTGAACCCCCGGCTGTGCTGTAACCTCAGGAGTGCCCTTTCCGGGCAGACTGACTCCCCGCGGACTTCCAGTGGCACATGCCATGTGGGCTCCTCTTCCCACTGTTGCTCAGAGTTGGGGATCCCCGCCTGAGGTTGAGTCCCCACACCCCTACGGGAAGGGCGTTCCCCTACCCTCTCGGAAGCCACCACACCTGCAGGAGGGAGTTCCCCCTTCCCCTCTCCGCCCTGCTTACCTGTCTCCGTGCGGCTTCTCCTGTATTCCCTGGTTATAGCATTTCAGTCCAGCCAGCCCTTCGGATGGTTTCCCAGGTTGATGCTTTGTAATGTAGCTGTAAATGGGGCGGGGGCGGGGGCGGGGGCGGGGAGCAGGTGGGCCGGCTTCCAGCTGCTCAGCGGGCATTTGGACCCGCCCTGTGACTTCTTCACAGAACCAGAGTCTTGTGCCAGCTCCCAGCCCTCTGCGCCGCGACTCCTCCCCCATCCTCCTCTGTGCACCCCCGAAGCGTTCAGGTTACCCCAGAGGGGCACCCGAGGGGAACACACGTCTGTAAGCTCGTTATGTCCCGTTTGCTTGCAAGGAGCAGGTCAGACGTGAAGTGGGATTTGCTAATTAGCGGTGGCGGTCACTGTGGAGTGAATGTCTGTTCCCTCAGAACACCCTGTGTTCACACCCTAATGCCTCTGGGGGTGAGTAGGTCATGAGGGCAGAACCCCATGAATAGGTTACTGCCCCTGTAAGGCGGCCCCAGGCGATCCCTGGGCCGTCCACCTCGTGAGGACACAGTGGGGAGGGGGCCCTCTGCACCCTGGTCTGGGACGTCCCAGCTTCCAGAACTGTGAGAAATAAATTTCTGTTGTTTATAAGCTCCCCAGTCTGCGGTATTTCTGTTATGACAGCCCAGATGGACTGAGGCAGCTATGTTTTGAGTCAAAGTATTTAAAAACATGATCTTGCAGATATAAAGTCACTGAGCCAGTCTGGCCAAATAACCAGGAGGATACCATCAGTGTTCCCCACAAATACTCACTGCTTTTGGTTTTACCCAGACGATAAGAAAATAGGGTGTCCCCCAAATGTATGCGCACTTTGAATTTTATAAAGCTAGGGCTTCCTCAAATACACTTCATTTTCAAAATGTAACAGAATCTGTAGACATCTTATATACAATTTTTTGACACCCGGTACATTATCAAGATATTTGTCTCAGTGAAAAATGAAACAAAACATATTCTTTCTTTTCTTTCGGAGCCTGCGTTCTGCATGAAGACCAGAGGGTCTGCATTCAGGAGACCGAGGCGTTTTGTTTACGAATGCAGGGACGCGCTGCAGACACCTCATGCAAACGGGAGTCACAGCTCGTTCAGTCCCGCCCCACTAAAGGCAAAAATGAGTGTTTATGTGAACTTTGCTAACATTGTGATGAAGAAACCTCATGGAAAGGAAGCCGTATGTCATTTACTGGGTGAGCCCCTCGGACGGTTCACGAGCCAAGTCATCTTTTATTCCTGCGTATTTACAGCAGACATAAAAGGAGATTCAGTGGCTTCTCGTTTCTTGTCCGGGTCATTTTTACATTTTTACGTTTTTACATGTCCAGTGTGTATTTTCTACTGCTGTAGGCAGCGTATACAAATACGTTTTTTTTTTATCCTCATCTGAGGACATTTTTCCATTTTTTGTTCAGATAGAGTGGGAGAGAGAGAGAGGGAGAGAGAGAGAAACATCGACATGAAAGGGACACATCGAGTGGCTGCCACCTGCACAACCCAACCAGGGCCGGGGACAGACTGCAACTGAGGTACATGCCCTCAGCGGGAACCGAACCCGGGTCTCTCTGGACCACAGGCGATGCTCTAACCGCTGAGCCAAACCGGCCAGGGCACAAATACGGTTTTTAAGGGGTTAGATCATTTGTTTCTCGGCTACTCTCACCTGCTGCGGCTTAGTTTCCAAGTTTTCACTCACCTGTTTAATGTATATTCTCCATGTAGAACTGAAAATTATTGCTTGTTAAGAAAGAGACCACTGTGTTATGTAGGTAACTGTCGACTCTGTGATTAATGTTGTCTGTTTACTTGAAAACATGTACTTTTCGTGAAAGTTTTTATGAAACTTGCAGGTGGTAAGAAATCAGTAGTGTGACTAAAAACAGAACTACCACATCCGTCTCCGGGAACAACCTCCTTTAATCCATCTTGCTTAGTGCTTGCTCCTCTTCCCTCTATTACTACTAAGAATTATGGATGTAACTCTATATAATCTGCTTATCCATTGGCTTCCACATTGATCACCTTAGGATAGCATCACTGCGTCTAACAAAAGGTGAGGATTGAAGTAATTTATGTTGCCTTCTTTCTTTCTCCCCCTTCTCAAGTCTTAATCTTTATATTTTGGTTTATAGTTTATGTTGTTGTTATTTTGGCCATTCTGTTGGTGTCCATTGTGGGGTTTGAGGGTAAGCATGACTTTCCCTTAGAAGAGATGGTCCACTGCCTTCCTGCCTCCACACTGGTGAGGGGAAGCGTTGGGTCAGTTCGGTTCTGATATCTGTGCAGGTGACCTTCCAGGAGGTCCTCTGGGAGCATCCAGACAATTCCTCGTGTCTGGATGTTTGAAACTCAGGCGGTTGTGACTGAGGCTTTGGGTCTGGGCTGTGCACGTCTGCTTTCTGCAGCTGATGACTAGATTCTTCTCTAGTTCTGGAGATTTTTCTTCGGCCGGTTCTTTGGCCTCTTCCTCCTTGTTTGCTCCGCTTCTCTGTGTGCGCGTCCGTCGGTCCTGGGTGACCTCACGGCACCCTTGCCGTCCCTCTGTCGGGCGCTGTGGCCCCGAGAAGTCAGCAGGAGCTCTGGGTGCGGCTCGGTGCTGTCCCGGAGAACTGCGTGGATTCCCACGTTCTTGCGTAGAACCAGGATCAAGAAGACCCCGAAGGGACGCACCACTGACAGGCTTCCCTTACGCGTTCTCTGTTTCTGCTTCCCCTCCGTGTCCACTTCCATTAGGACTCGCTCTTTGTCTTTTACGAAACAACTTGCAGCGGCCTTGACATCCTGTGGTAAGGACGGGCAGACTGGTTGTACTCCAGGCTCAAGTTTGGGTCGGTCGTCGAAATAATTCCGCCTGGTCCCCGGGAGAGACACCTGTGTGTCACGTACTGATTTATCACAAGCAATGAAAGCCTATGGCGCCCTTTAAAAACCTGCAGAAACGAACACTTTATTATTGCCAGCATCCAAGGAAGACATGAACCGTGAGCTCTCCCAAGCCCAGCGTAGGACGGGCAGCTTTACTGATTGATGGTGGGGGCGCCTAGGCGGGCGGTCCTCGTCGGGGTGAGTGTCACAGGGGTTCTCCTCTAACCCTTGGTCATTGTACACCCCGTGTGAGAGTCGGGCTTTACGGAGAGAGGCCACTGGTGTAGCTCATTCACAAGCCCCCCTCCGGGGAAGAGACGGGACCCAGCTGGGAGCTGGGACGGTCAGGATGGGCACAGGGGGAGCAGCCCTTCCCGAGGGAAAACCGCTTCACCCGGAAAGTGCACAGAAGCAGCAGGCGCCCGCCCTGTGCCACGCCCGCGCCTAACGCCCTGGCTCTTTCTCCGCAGTGCTGCCGCCGGTGCTGGTGCCCAGGCACAGCGAGTACGACCCGCAGCTCAGCCTGCTGGCCAAGTTCCGCAGCCCGTCGCTGCACCGCGAGCCGCTCATGCCGCACAACGCCACCTACCCCGAGTCCTTCCAGCAGCCGCGCTGCGCCTTCCCGGCGCCGGGGCCCGCGTGCCTGCAGCCCCAGTGCGCGGCCGGCTACCCGCACACCCCGGGGAGCCCCTCGGAGCCGGGGAGCCCCTACCAGCATGCAGGTCAGTACCAGCGTCCGGGCGGTCGTGTGGAAACACAGCCCGACAAGGCTGTGCGGTGGCCGTCTGGGTGCAGTCACTGTGCCTCAGTTTACAAGGGCCTGGCAGTCCGCACGGCCACTCCTGCGGGCCCTGGACCCGGCCCAGCCTCTAGGACGGTGGGACTGGACCCAGGTCGGAGCCGTGACCCTGGAGCGGCAACATGTCTTTGCTCTGCGTTTGGCTCTGATGCTCTCAGACACTAAATGGAGTCGAGCAGCATCGCTGGTCATTTCAAGGGACTTTTTTTTTTATCCTCACCCGAGGACATTTTTCCATTTTTTTTTTTTTTTGTTGTTTAGATAGAGTGGGAGGGAGAGAGAGAGAAACATTGATGTAAGAGGGACACATCGAGTGGCTGCCACCCACACGACCAACCAGGGCCGGGGACAAACTGCAACTGAGGTACGTGCCCTTAGCGGGAACCGAACCCGGGTCTCTCCGGACCGCAGGCCGACGCTCTAACCGCTGAGCCAAACCGGCCAGGGCTCAAGGGACTTTTTATAAAATCCCCCAGAGAATATTTTCCCATTTATCTTCAGATAGAGCTGCGGGGGGGAAGGGGGGGAACACATCCCTGTGAGAGGGACACCTGGATTGGTTGCCTCCTGCATGAACCCAACCGGGGTTGGGGACGAACCGCAACCTAGGCATGTGCCCTTGGTCAGAATCGAGCCCGGGACTCTGGCCCACGGGCCGACACTAGCCGCTGAGCCACACTGGCCAGGGCCTGGGATTTGTTTTGAAGGCACGAACAGTGAGATGATGCCGACTTCCTCACGCGGAGCAGGAAGACTTGGCCTGAGGTCAGCAGTGTGATTGCTGCTTGGGCCAGGGAAGGGGGCCCCCTGCAGGCGGGGAGGCCCCGGGGGCCAGGCAGCGCCTTCTCCGGCTGCTGCTGGGTAAGCCCAGCACCGGAAGGTACACCTGGTCCTTCCATAGTTGCCGAATCGAAACAGCGTGTAGAAGGGAGAGGGAGGACCCAGCCCCTTGCACATGATTGCTGCGTGTGTGATCACACCTATAACGTAGGTGTGCGTCAGATGAGGAACAGACGATTTATGTGCCTCCCGAGTGTGAGGAGGAAGTGTGCTGAGTGACCCAGCCCTGCAGGCTGCATGGATGAGCTCGGTCCAGGTGAGGTCTGCCTCACCTGTCTCTTCCTATAGTCGTTGACTTAGCTGCTGTTTGTTCACTCACTCACAGCACCAAAAGGAAGATTAAAAGAGTGATCAAAGTTGCCCCGTCCTCAGAGACTCCCTAACACGGACCCAGTGCGTCCTCTTAGCAGAACGACAAGGGCTTCACATCTACTGTCGAAACGTGTGACGCTGTGTTACGTACTCGTCCGCGTGTCTGGCTTAGAGCCCGAAGTGCAGACGTCACTCGTCAGTGGACTGCACCCACATTTGGGGCTTGGGAGTAGAGCTCGGGTCACAGGCGCAGATTTTGTGGAGTCGGAAGGTGATGACCGAGCACCTGCTAAGTGCCAGCTGGTGCTGGTGCTGGTGCTGCAGGTGCCAGGTGATCGGTCACGGCGACCCCGTCGCCGCCCAGAGGCTGTGACCGTCGATGGCAGTCGGGGAGACGCGGCAGAGCATGCTGAGGCCTTAGCTGCCCAGGCCGGTCCTTACAAAGCTTGACCTAGAGCAGGGGTGTGGGGGTGGGAAGAAGGCAAGGCATCTGCTGTGGTGGGGTCACCAGGACTTGTGGGGTGAAGGCTGAGAGGTGTCCTGGGAGTCACCCCCCAGTGGCGGAGGGGGTGGCCGTCTGGCAAGTGGCTGGATTCACCGAGGAAGCAACTCAACAGAACGAGAACCTGTCTGAGGACAGAGCCCCAGTAAAGGGCCAGGAGGATGATTCTGCTGCAAAATACCCCTCGACACAGAGCCCGTTTGTCCCCTAGCGATTCCCTGTGCTTGTCACACCAGCAGGTTGATGTTTCTCTCCCTGGCCCGCCTGAAGGGCAGACCCAGATCTAGGCAGGAGCGGGCGGTTCCCATTCTTTTCTGAATGATTAGCAGTGAAATGCCAGCCTGAAGGACAGTCTGGCGAACGAAGACGAGGAGGACGTCCTGAGGCGGCTCGGCGCCTTTCGCTTTTCCACGGCTTATTGAGACGTAATTCTCACGTATCCAAATCCAGCCATTTGAAGTGTACAATTCAGTGGTTTTCCATGTTGTATTGTATATTTTTTAAAATATTTTTTCTTTATTGATTTTTTTAGAGAGAGAGGGAGAGACAGAGAGAGAGAAACATGGATGAGAGAGAACATCAACTGGCCGCCTCCTGCACGCCCCTCACTGGGGATGGGCCCACAACCTGGGCATGTGCCCTGACCGGGAATCGAACCGGCGACCTCTTGGTGCAGGGTCGATGTTCAACCACTGACCCACACCGGTTGGGCTGTATTTATATATATATATATATATATATATATATATATATATATCTTCTCACCTGAGGACATTTTTCCATTTTTTGTTCAGATAGAGTGGGAGGGAGAGAGAGGAAGAGAGAAACATCGACGTGAAAGGGACACATCAAGTGGCTGCCACCCACATGACCTAACCAGGGCCGGGGACAAACTGCAACCGAGGTACGTGCCCTTAGCGGGAACCGAACCCTGGACTCTGGACCGCAGGCGGACGCTCTAACTGCTGAGCCAAACCGGCCAGGGCATGTATTATATTTTTTGAGTTGTGACAAAATACACATCACATAAAATTTGCCATTTTAACCATGTTTTAAGTGTGCCATCAAGTGGCATTGATGTCACAGTGTTGCGTCATCGCCGCTATTTCCAAAGCTGTTTGGTCGCCCCACAGGCCCGTTAAACAGCAGCTCCTGCCCCCACATTCCTCCAGCCACACCGGCCCGGGCAGCTCAGCAGTTTTGTGTGGTGAACTGATCCTGGCATCATCTTCCTGACTGCACACCATTCTCCCAGCCTGCTCCCCGTTCAGTCGTGGGGCTGACACGAGGTTGCAGTCAGGTTTCAGCTGTCCTGTGTTTGGGGCCACAGACACGGAACGTCGCCGTGGCCGCTGTACAGCCCATGGCAGCAGAGGACCTGAGAACTGAGGTCACGTCGAGAAGGCCGAGCTGCCCCTGTTGCGAGAGCCGCCACCAGACTCGCCTGCTACTGAGCAGAGCGGGGAGAACAGCTCCGGGTTTGAAACTCCTCCGGAGCCACTTGCGCTCCATGACAACTCCTGAGTCAGAGAGAACGAATGGACCCTTTCGTGAGGGGCTCAGAACACCCACGGCCCCTGTAGGACACTCACAAGGTCACTTCATGACAGCCTCACGGTGTCGCTGGTCTTTCCTCCGCAGAGTCTGCCGAGCGGGAGGTGACCGGTCACAGCGTTGGGGCGGTGGCCGTGCGTAGCGCCCCGGCCTGACTCCCTTTGTCTCACTGTTTTCTTGTAGCTGACACCCCCCCCATGTCCTTTCATGCCACGGAGGCCCCGGGGACCCAGAGCGGCCAAGCGGTAGAGGCCCCAGCCGATAGCCACTTAGTGCTGTCGATGCCTGTCGGAGGTAAATGCGCAGAGGAACCCCTGGATGTAGCCATCTTGCAGAGTGCTCCCGTCACCCCAGAATGAGCAAGTCAGCATCTAAGACCAGACCGGAGGCGCTGGCGTCTGTCTCCCGGGTGTTCTCAGGGGCCGATGCCATGGCCTCTGCATTTCATTTATGTTTTTCTTTATTGATGTTAGAGAGAGAGGAAGGGAGAGGGAGAGAGAGAGAAACATCGATGAGAGAGAACATCGATGGGCCGCCTCCTGCACGCCCCCCACTGGGGATCAGCTCACAACCTGGGCATGTGCCCTGACCGGGAACTGAACCGGTGACCTCTCGGTGCAGGGTCGATGCTCACCCACTGAGCCATACCGGCCGGGCTGTATTTCATCCTTAGTTTGTTGTTAGAAATGGTAGTCTGTCCCAACCGGTGACCTCTCGGTGCAGGGTCGTCGCTCACCCACTGAGCCACACCGGCCGGGCTGTATTTCATCCTTAGTCTGTTGTTAGAGAATGGTAGTCTGTCCCAACCGGTGACCTCTCGGTGCAGGGTCGACGCTCAGCCACTGAGCCACACCGGCCGGGCTGTATTTCATCCTTAGTCTGTTGTTAGAGAATGGTAGTCTGTCCCAACCGGTGACCTCTCGGTGCAGGGTCGACGCACAGCCACTGAGCCACACCGGCCGGGCTGTATTTCATCCTTAGTCTGTTGTTAGAGAATGGTAGTCTGTCCCAACCGGTGACCTCTCGGTGCAGGGTCGACGCTCAGCCACTGAGCCACACCGGCGGGCTGTATTTCATCCTTAGTCTGTTGTTAGAAATGGTATCTGTCCCAGGGACTGGGTGTGAAGACAGTAACAGCCACGTGTCCCCTCTCACACGCAGAGGTGAAGGGACCTGCCAGCTTCCTTCGGGCTGCACTTCCTTTCGGGGTGATGGGAACATGGACCCACTCGTGTCCTTGTTTGCCTGACCCCTCGACCCTCAGAGGCCTGCACAGACCTCTAACTGGGGGGGGTCACCCCCGACTCCCTGCTCAGGCCTGCTCACCAGACAGGTTCCTTCCAGGGCCAGAGCTGGAAGGGTCCCGGCCGCTCCCTCGGCCCCCAGCGCACGTCCTGCGCGGGCCTCCTGTGCACCCGTGGCTGAAGGAGGGCGGCCTCGCGCGGGGCGTGACGTGCGCGGGGCGTGACGTGCGTGGGGCGTGAGGTGCGCGGGGCGTGAGGTGCGCGGGGCGTGGCGTGCGCGGGGCGTGGCGTGCGCGGGGCGGGGCGGGGGCGTGGCGTGCGCGGGGCGTGAGTTGCGGCGCGGGGCGTGACGTGCGCGGGCGTGACATGTGCGGGGCGTGAGCGCGGGGCGTGACGTGCGCGGGGCGTGACGTGCGCGGGGCGTGACGTGCGCAGTGGCGTGACATGCGCGGGGTGTGACGTGCGCGGGGGCGTGACGTGCGTGGGGCGTGAGGTGCGCGGGGCGTGGCGTGCGCGGGGCGGGGCGGGGGCGTGACGTGCGCGGGCGTGGGCTGCGCGGTGCTTCGACTCTGCCGGGGGCGCGCGTGCGTGCGTGCGCGCGGGCGTGCGAGCGCGGGGCGTGGCCTGTGCGGGCGGGGGCGTGGGAGCGCGGGGGCGTGGCGAGCGCGGGGCGTGGCGTGCGCGGGGCGTGGCGTGCGCGGGCTGACGTGCCGCCCCTCTCCCGCAGGCTTCCGGCCCGTGTGCTACGAGGAGCCGCGGCACTGGTGCTCCGTGGCCTACTACGAGCTGAACAGCCGCGTGGGCGAGACGTTCCAGGCCTCCTCCCGCAGCGTTCTCATCGACGGCTTCACCGACCCGTCCAACAACAGGGACCGGTTCTGCCTCGGGCTCCTCTCCAACGTCAACAGGAACTCCACCATCGAGAACACCCGGCGGCACATAGGGAGGGGTAAGGACAGGCGGCGTGTCTCGTCCCGGGCCACCCGCGGGCGCAGAGACAGCCGGGCAGGCCCGGGCCCGGGTGGGGGGCACCGGCCGGGCTCTGGAGCGGGGTGGCGTGTTCTGCGGGGGTGCGGTGCATGGTGGGGAGACACAGGAAATGACGCACGTGAGCGTGGGATGACATGATCGAATACGCGCGCGTGATTATGTCTGAGCTGCTCCGCGATGCTTAGTAATGAGACCCCGTGAAGGAGAATCCTGGCTGGCTGACCCCTACGAGGTGAAGTGCCCCTGCGACCTAGACGCCGGGGAGGCGAACCTCCTGACCGACGTGCACTTGGAAGTGACCGGCTCTCCGGTGCCCAGGCTCCCTGCAGCCCACGGGCCCGGGCCTCCGGGGCCCGGCTGAGGATGTTCCGAAGTCTCCTTTATTGGCAGAGTCGATGGCTGCAAATCCCAGCGAGGTGCAGGGCCCGGTGGAGGGTCCTTAAGTCCTTCCTCATATTTTAGCACAGTCGGTAGCTGCTGAGTGACACCCGCTGCCCACTGTCGTGTCCTACTTTTCTGGAATCGTGGGCAGAGAGCCCGCAGAGCAGTCTGGTCTTTGCTTTCTCCGTCCAGCTCTCGGCCGCCTCAAGAAAGGAGCCGGGGGGTCTTTCCCAAATCCCCTCGTGGTGAGGTGGATGGACCCTGTGCCCAGCGCCCCTCCTGGTGTTGCCTGCTGCCCTCAGGGGACAGGCCAGGGATTAGTTCCCCGATGTCCACTCTGCCTGGCGACAGCTACTTTGTGCTTATTTGTACCCCCATGTCTGCCCCTGTGGCTTTGCAGCGGCTGAGCCTTGCCGTGAAACGCTACGTGAAAAGGGGAACATCAGACGGGGTGAGAGGGCGGGGACAGTCCAGGCACATCGTCTGTGCAGCCACCACGGTGGTTGGACCGCAGTTTCACTCCAGGTTTCTCAGCAGGGCCAGGAAAGGGACGCTGGGTCTGTGATGTAACTTTCCTTTCAAAGCGAGACACAGCAGCTCGTCAACGGAGTTCATGCTTTTACCTCGGTTGACGTTTAAACGCATTTCTCAGGTGTGGTTTCACTGGCAGATTTTTTAATAAGAATATTCAGGTGAAATCTGAGGGCGGAACATTACAGTGTAATTATGTTGTGGGGTATTTGCCGAGGGCCTTGGCAGGGTGTCTGCGTGGTGGACTCCTGATGCCCGTGATCCCAGGACAGGTCCATACTGAGGGCACTGAGTGCATCCGGCTCCCTCCTGCAAGGAGCCCGGCCCGGTGCCTGACGTGGGCTGGGAGCTGGGGTTCTGGTGGTGGGCTGGGAGCTGATCCTCAGGACTCAGCAGCCGTGGAACAGGAGTGTAGGAAGCCCTCTCAGTGCCTGGATGGAGGTGCCACCCGCAAGGGCCGCCCCGGCCTGGAGTCCTGTGAGGGCTGCTTCTCCCTCTTCTCTGAGGTCGGCGGGTCTGGGGCCCTGCGTGCTGTTCGGTTCAGAGCAGGGGCGGCCTGGGGCACCCCTACCTTGGCGAGCACACCTCGCGCTCTGGGAGTATTGTCATGGAGACGCTTCGAGGTCAGAGAGATCGTCCGTGTCCCCGGAATGTCCCCAGCACCTGCTCTTTGCCCGATCACTCTGCCCCTGGGGACGCGGCCGCGGGAAGCGAACCCAGAGCACACGTGTCGCGCAGGAGAGGCAGACCCGGAAGAGCACGTATAGCATGTGAAGTGACAAGTGTTCAGAGACAGAGGGAGGGGAGGGTGGGGAGGGTGTGGTAACTTAGAGCAGGGTAGCCAGGGAAGCCCCGCCCCAGAAGGTGACTTGGAGCAAGGAGCTAAAGAGGCACTAGCAGGGGGTACGAGGGTCCCAGGGGGGCAAGCCTTCCAGCAGACGGAGCCGCAGGTGCAAAGGCCCGGAGCCCTCCTGACCGGCTGTGGGAGCGCAGAAGGCCGGGCAGGCGGAGCAGAGCCAGGAGGGGAGGAGGCTGAGCCAGAGCCCGAGCTTTGGGCGCTTCCACAGGTCGGAGGGGAGATGCGTGCACATCGCGCCTGCAAACCCAGCTTTGAAAGGACCTCCCGGTGCTGCGCTAGTACCAGGCTGCAGGAGAGGCCGTGCAGGGTGTGTGCCCCAGCGCCCCCTCAGTCGCTGTCTGTCACTCTGAGGCTGCCTCTGGTCTGTGCCCCATCACTCAGCCCGGATGGCGGCCCTCCCGGGGCCCACGCGCGACCCCGCAGAGCCCAGCGCAGGGTGGTTTTCTCCAGAGCGCGGTTCATGCTGACTCACTCGCCCGCTTCCTGGCGGATGGACACCCTGGGACGGGGCTGCTCCAAGCAGGTACCTGCAGCCTTGCAACAGGGCGCCCAGGACTGAGCCTGTCACTCCGACCTCCGAGCACGCGGGTGCCGGCACCAGTTAGGTACCCGGGGCAGGGCCCTGAGAACCTGGAACACGGCATTCCCACAGGCCTGCCCCATCCCTCCCTGAGGACTGGGCAGACCACTGGGCGGACCGTCAGGTGTGGGCGAGACCCAGGTACGAGTGAGTCGCAGGTGCAGGTGAGACCCAGGGGCGGGCGAGTCCCAGGGGTGGGTGAGTCACATTTGTCCTGCCAAGTGTTGGTCTGTCCCTAGTAAGTGGGAGAAAGCCCACAGTTATGATCATTCTTGAGGCCTTAACCCCCATCATTGGACTCACTGAGGCAAACCAACTCTTCCCGAAAGTCATGCTCGTGTACAAATCCGTGACCTGTGTTTAGGGCCAGTTCTTCACCTTTTCATGATTTTGTTGTTGGTGTTGCCCATCTCAAGTTCTGTAGAATTCCAGAGTTCTTTCTGTTTTATGAAAAGTGTCATCCTGGGGCCCCAATGTGGTCTTCAGCCCCTGGAAGGAGGGCTTGCTCTTCAAGGTGGTTTGCTGTTGCTTTCTTTTCTGAGAGACTGTTTTCCTGTCTCAACGTGCCCTTTTCATTCTGCCTTGGAACACGTGTAAGGCTTTCCATGCAGCAGATCCTAAAAAAAATAGAATTAGCAAATTAATTGCAGTCCTTAAGTTGTTGGCGCAGAGACACTGGATATCGTAGGAAGTTGTTCACGACACCTGAACAAATGACGACGGTGATAACGCAGCCTAGGGCATCTGCTCCTGGTTTTGCTTTAAAAATGTACCTGTAACAGGTGTTTTGCTCTGATTATTTCTGGGCTGTGGATTCGTGGCTGGTTTTTGTTTCTGATGCCTCTGTGTTTTCTCGACGTTCTCTGTGGGCTTTCTTGCTCAGGTCGGATGGGGTGGGAGGAGGAGGGTGAGGGTGTGCCAGGACCCCAGCAGCCCGGCTGAGGTGTGGGCAGAGGTGGGCATTCAGTGTACCTCGGTCGGACCCAAACTCACTTGCTCATCATGCTGTTCAGAGAGACGTAAAGTCTTTGAGTCCAGATTGGGGGCATCACCCTTGCCACCAGGGCAGGGGCTGCAGTCGTTACATACACGTACCCGGGAAGGTCTCGAGGCCCACCCTGGAGCACACACTGCCCACCTGCAGGTACAGTCCCGTGGACGGCAGCCTCCGTCCTTGACCGAGAGCCCTGGCATGGATGTGGAAATCCGTGCTCTTGTATCATTATTATTTCATCAAAACATTTTTATGGCCCTGGCCGGTTTGGCTCAGCGGTTAGAGCGTCGGCCTGCGGTCCCGAGAGACCCGGGTTCGGTTCCCGCCAAGGGCATGTACCTCAATTGCAGTTTGTCCCCGGCCTTGGTTGGTCGTGCGGGTGGCAGCCACTCGATGTGTCCCTTTCACGTCGATGTTTCTCTCTCTCTTCCTCTCTCCCCCTCCCACTCTACCTGAACAAAAAATAGAAAAATGTCCTCAGGTGAGGATAAAAAAAAAAAAAAAAATTTTTATGTTGGAAAGTTCCAAACATGATTCCAGACAGGAATATGGTCATTTGTGAGGGTCCGGATGAGCCAGGCTTTAAAATGGGGCGAGGAAGGGCACCGGAGGCAGGGGGGACAGTCCCGGAGCCCGGGAAGGTGTCCGTGCAGGTCAGTGTGGGTTTTCCTAAGCGGAGTGGTGGGGGAAGGAGTCCACCTTCTGTGGTGGTATTTCCCTCCCAGGCCGGAGAGGGTTCCCCACACAGGGACTGACGTTCTTAGATTCCAGAGCATCGGAACCCTCTCGACAGAGACAGCCTGTCCTCCTGCCCTGCCCCGCCCCCAGCTTCTCCTCTGTCCTCTCTGTCCTCCAAGGCCGCAGAAGGGGACTCCAAGGGACACCCTAGCAGGTAGACTCAGCAGACCCAAATCTAACCCAACGTATCTCTGGTCCGAATTAACACCATACAGGCCCAACTCTCTCATCACGTGAAAGGTGGGTGCAGGCGCACACACGTGGACAGCTCAGATGCAGAAGGATGAAGCCCAGGAAGAGGTGTGGTTCACGGCATGGGGAGAACTTGCCCGACGACCACGCTGCCTTGGGTCACTTGGGGCATCGCAGAGAGAGCTTTCTTTGGGCAGTTATCCTTACTGCTTGCTGTCCTCTGTGACATCTAATCCAGTACATGTGGTTTAAAGTCACAAGTTTGCCCTGGCCAGTGCGGCTCAGTGGTTGAGCGTTGTCCATGCACCGAAATGTCTCCACGTCTCCACGTGGTGGGTAGAGGCAGCCAACTGATGTTTCTCTCGCATGTTTAGGTTTCCCCCTCACTTCCTTTGTCTCTAAAAAATCAGTTTCCGAAAGAAGTCACTCTTTGCGCCTCGTCCATGGCTGCAAATGAAATCGTGTGTCTACCTGACTTGTCTTTAGATGCCGCTGCCTCTGGCCCCAGCCACCCCTCAGTGGGTTGAGCCCCAGCCTTCCCGGGCTCCCCTCTGCTCTGCGGTTCCGCCAGCGGGGCTGTGGCTTCGGATAAGACCTAAGCAGCACTGAGAACCGTCTGCGAAACCGAGACCAGAGTCAGATAACAGGGCTTCTCTATTGCACTTAATAGGTTTGGGAGAATTATGTTTTTGAAGGTCATTCAATTCAAATATGCACTGAACACGGAGCAGCTCACTTTCCCTGCTCACCCCCTGCCCTCCCTCCCTCCGCTGAAGCCCACAGGCACCCGGAGACAGGCCTGCCACCCGGATTTGCAGTGCTCAAGGGCGGCAGGGTTTGGGGCGCCCCTCCCTGGTCCCCAACATGTCAATCCAGCCAGCCGATCAGGGGCATTCAGCCTGCCCTCGGCCTGGGCCAGGGGTCAGGCCAGCGCTCAGGGAGTGGACGGGGGGTGTGAGAGAGAAGAGGGAGCGGAGGCTGAGGGAGGGGAGGGAGCCGCTGTGACCTGGGCAGCGGCGGCGCTGGGGCTGAGCGGAAGGGCTGAGCTTGATCCGTGCGGCTGGGGCCAGCTTCTTCAAGGTGATCTGGCCGGAATCCGTCACCCAGACAACCATTCTTTTCTACAGCTGGACTGAGGGAGGGCAGATGGGATGGGAAACAGTACGCATGCGGGGAGGCAGTCACATCCAGATGTCTCAGGCGCTACTGAGAAGCTGACCGAGACGCCACCGCTGTGTCCCTAAGGCTTACTAGGTGCAGAGTGACCACAGGTGGCTCTGGGGACCCCGGGGGCTGTGCCTTCCAGTTCAGAAGGTTGTGTTTCCTAAGTGTGTCACGGTGAACCTCAGCTCGCTTCCGTGGGCACCTTGTGACTGCAGGGCGCCTGCGCGCGTCCTGTTCACGCCCTGCGGTGGGAACGGTGTTTCGGTGTTTTCGCTACAGGCCAGGAGAAGACGCGGTCCGGCACTTAATGTCCACGAGGCCAGAACCTCTCCATGTTCCCTACCCCAGTCCCTGGCTATGAGTTTACTGGAATTTCCAGCCCAGACATTTGAAGGGCAGTAACTCACATGTAATTTGGAATAAAAACTAGTGTGAGCCTTTTCATCCCAAGAATGTGGGATAAAGTAGCATTTTGATTGTGTACGTCCGAAAGTGGGGCCAGAATTTCACTGTGTTTCAGTAAAGAACAGGCGTAATTTCTGTGATCCGAGTGAGACGCTGAAAAGCTTTAACATGAAGTAGGTCCCGTGGAGGTATTTATTAAGAAAAATGCTTCTACAGTTGTCAGTCACATAAAATTTAAACATCGTTTATTGTTTCCTTGGAAATGGGTTTAGTGTGGCACTCAGGTAGCATCTGCCGTGACCTTACCTGTGTCCGGTTCTAAATTCTTTGTTTACATAAGTACCTTAGGACTAGGTGATGCTTCCGCATTGTGTGTTTATTTAGGGTCTCATGAGCTTCCTTTTAGGGTGAATGAGTGAGACTGACGAAGGGCTGGGAAGAGCTGGTTTAGTTGTTGTCTTCAGTGATTGTAAACATGGTTTGCCGTCCACTTTCACATGGACCCCTGGGAAAAACACAGATTATAACTACCCCTAGGGGGCGTCTGGGTCCCCGTCTTCCTAGTCTGTGATGGGGCTGGGAGGAGTAGCCCCGGCAGACAGCCCCTCTTGAGCTCCAGGCCGGTGCGCAGAGCAGGGAGGCACCTGCGGTGACCGTGTCCCCCGCAGGCGTGCACCTGTACTACGTGGGCGGTGAGGTCTACGCAGAGTGCGTGAGCGACAGCAGCATCTTCGTGCAGAGCCGCAACTGCAGCTACCAGCACGGCTTCCACCCGGCCACCGTCTGCAAGATCCCCAGCGGCTGCAGCCTCAAGATCTTCAACAACCAGCTGTTCGCCCAGCTGCTGGCTCAGTCCGTGCACCACGGCTTCGAGGTCGTCTACGAGCTCACGAAGATGTGCACCATCCGGATGAGCTTCGTGAAGGTGAGGCGCGCGTGCTCCCGGGCGGGGAGATGGGAAAGGAAAACCGGGTCTCGGAGGGCGAAGGAGAAGCATCTGTGGCCAAAACAAATGAATAAAAATGGCACAGAAAATAAACGGAAAAAAAAAGAAGGGCCCTCAGTCTTTGGTTCGTGGGCAGTTCTCGTAGACGCAGGGCTGCGGAAGTCTAATTGCTTTTAGGAAGACCTCCTCCGTGGATACGATCTCCCTCCTTTAACAATGACGAGAACGTGCCCTGGCCAGTTTGGCTCAGCGGTTGGAGCGTCGGCCTGCGGTCCCGAGAGACCCGGGTTCGGTTCCCGCTAAGGGCATGTACCTCGGTTGCAGTTTGTCCCCGGCCCTGGTTGGTCGTGTGGGTGGCAGCCACTCGATGTGTCCCTTCACGTCGATGTTTCCCTCTCTCTTCCTCTCTCTCCCTCCCACTCTACCTGAACAAAAAAAAAAAAAGGAAAAATGTCCTCGGGTGAGGATAAAAAACAATAAAAAACAATGACGAGAACATGCTTCAGCATAATACTTAGAGAGGAAAACTTTAAGTAGTTATCTGATTTTTTTAATGCCGAAGATGGCATGACAACACTACTTTCATAAGGTGCTCCAGGGATTTCCGTCCCTCACTGCCAAGCATGGCTGTAACGTGACACATGTTGATGGACTTGCCTGAATGAAATCAGAGCCTCTTCTGACGCTTAGCACACAGGCAAATGGAGAAGGTGAGGTTTACAAACAAGCCACAAAACCGAACTGACTCTAATACAACGTATAGTACGTTAAGTGCCTTTCATAAGAGCATAAAATAATCGGGGTAGAAACATTATGTGGGCATGGATAATGCTGAGAAGGTAGCCATGTTCTGTCGATCAATATTTATTAAATTTCTCAAATTACATATTACTCACGTTGACGTGCAGGTTGGAGAACTGGGGTTGTACGTGAAGCTCAAGGCCTCGGTCTCAGCATTGCTGTTTGGACTCGTGCAAAGTGATGGGAGATGATCTCAACATTTCAGAGTCTTAGCTTGGCCGCCTCCTGCATGCCCTCCATTGGGGATCAGGCCCACAACCTGGGCATGTGCCCTGACCGGGAATTGAACCAATGACCTCTTGGTGCAGGGTCGATGTTCAACCACTGAGCCACACCAGCCAGGCTACCTGGTGTATTGACACAGTTTTCACATTGTCACATGGCCATCCAAGGAGTTGGCATGGTTTGTTCTAGGTATTTTTCAAAGTAAAATGTATTAGTTTTTTAAAATTACCATGAAAAATAATTGCCCTTTTTTCTATACTCAAACTGTGTCTTACTACACTTTTAATTTTCATAATTAAAAGAAATAAGGATCAATATTACAGTTTCTAATGTAAAAAATGCTTCTAGAAACCATTTCTTTCATGAAGACAAAGCAGTTTTATTCAGTTTTACTGGTAAGCTCTGAAAAGCACTTTTACATTGTAAAACAGTTAACTGATACCTGGAATTTTTTTAAATTGCTGATGCTTTCGAGTCAACAGCGGGCATTGCATGGCCGTTAATGAGTGATCCTTTGAATTGCATGGTTACTTTTTCAGGTCTTTGTTTTTAAAATTAGGACGAAATACCAATATCTCAGAGGTACATATTTCACTATAATATATACTTGTCCAGAAATCTAATTTTTCTAAAATCAGCTAGATGTATTTATCAGATATACAACATTTAAATCATAAAGCTGAACAATTCACAGAAATTTAACTATTAATGTATATTGCAGGGACTTAAAAAAAAAAAATCCTTAACAAATATAACTCAGGATACAGATGATCAGTTTAAAAGGACTTTAAAAGCTCTTAGCAGCCCGGTGGTGTGGGTCAGTGGTTGAACATCGACCCTGCATCAAGAGGTCACCGGTTCGATTCCCTGTCAGGGCACATGCCCAGGTTGTGGGCCTGATCCCCAGTGGGGGGCGTGCAGGAGGTGGCCAATCAATGTTCTCTCTCACTGATGTTTCTATCTCTTTCTCTCTCTCCCTTCCTCTCTCTCTCAAATCAATAAAGAGACAGAAAAAAAATTTTTTTTTAAAAAAAGCTCTTATATGCAAACATATGTATATGGGAGGTTATGGATCTTAATTAAACTTATTGTGGTAATTATTTTGCAATGTATACATATACCGAATTCATTATGTTATACACTTAAAAGTGATACAATGTTACATACCAATTATATCTCAATAAAACTGGGGAGAGAAGGCAGTACAAATTAAAATAATATAAAATATTTTATTAATATTTATATTGATTACATATGGATAGGATACTATTTTGGATATATTGGGTTGAGTAAAACACATTAGAATTTTTAAAAAATGAAACGAAATAAATGATAGATGACTAAACACTGGGGGCTACTATGGGGGGTGACAGACTACATCATCTTTAAGGTCTGTTTCTGCTGTAAATGTTACTAATTCTAGGACTCATTTAATCAGTCAACAAATGTTTATTGAGCACCTGTCACGTGCCAGGCGCCCTTCTGGGAACTGATACGTCAGTGGATCAAAGTCTCTGCCCTCAGAAAGTCATTGCTCTAGGAGGGATTGACAGACGACAGCAGCTACAGCCACGGGTTTGAATGCGAAGAGAGCTGGTAGAGTAGTAATGTGATGGACACTGGGGTCCGGATGGGGGCAGGTTTCAACAGCGTGGTCAGCGGAGGCCTCGTCGAGGAGCTGAAACCTGAGCAGGGACTTGCAGGGACGCTGGAGAGGCAGGCATGAGGAAGCTGGGGAGCAGCAGACACCAGGGGAGGGCAAGCCCCGGGCAGAGACAGAGCACCGGGGGCGCAGGAGCAAGGAGGCCCATGTGACTGGGGCATAGTGCGTGAGGGGAGGGGGCATCAGAACGGGGGACCAGCTCGGGGCTCTGCAGACCACAGCGAGGATGGTGGTGTTCGCTCCAGAGGGAAGGGGAGCCATTGCCGGGATTTGAGCAGGGTTTTCTTGATCTGACTCAGGCTGCTGTGTAGACAGATATTAAGCAGACAGGGCCGCAAGGAGGGAGACCAGTTGGGAGGCTGTGGCAGGATTCAGGTGAGAGGTGATGGTTGCCCCCCCAGGAGACTTCCAGCAGGTGCTGTGAAGAGAGGCAGGTTCTGTACTGGGAAGGCCGATTCTATGTGGGGTCTGAGAAACAGAGGGGTTCGAGGGCGTTGCCTGCAACCGCGATGGGGAAGATGTCTTGCAGGCGGCTGAGGTTTGGATACAAGACTGAGTTCAGTTTGAGTGAGCAGACATGTGAGGCATTTGTCACGTATCCGAGTGGAGATGCCGAGGAGGCCGGTAGGGGTACACGTTCGTCTTGGCTTGGAGAGAAGGCCAGGTGGAGACGTCAAGTTAAGCCTCCGTGCGCCTGGATGACATCGCCAGCGGTGTGGGTTTAAACAGAGAAGATAAGGGGTCCAAGGGTGCAGTCCTGGGCACTTCAACATTACACAGTAGCAGAGAAGAGAAAGAACCTGCAAAGAAACCGAGACAATGCAACTAGCGAAGTCGTAGTAAAACCAAGAAAGGGGGTCCTTTGGAAGCTGAAGAAGAAAGTACGTTGTCTGTTATGCTCTCTCAGGTCTCTCGGGGGATAAGCTACAGCAAGTACTGTCCAAGGACAGGAAGACTGAGCGATCATTCATCCGAGCAGCAGAAAGGTCTTTTTGGTCTTGACGGGAACAATATTGTGCAGGCTGGGGTGAGATGCTGTCAGATGGGTGTAAGGGGCACCGGAAGAAGCCGCATGGAGACAGTCGTGCAGATAACTCTCGGAGAGTTTTTGCTAGAAAGGGAATCAAAGATACATGGACAGTAATCTATGGTGGTTATGGGACCAGGAGAAGTATTTTGAATATGAAATTATTTCAGTGTGTTTGTACATTGATGGAAATGACCCAATAGAAAGAGAAAGATTGCAGGAGAGATGGAGAGAGTTTCTGGAATGCTGTCCCCAGAGAGGTGCTCGCCTGTCGCAGGGACAGACAGGTGGATGGACTGTTTCATCTGGGAACAGATCATCTGTAGGGAGAGGAAGGAAGACCACGCCTGTGGTGCAGGCTGTGGAATTCTCTCTGACCGCGTCATTTCTCTTGTTGAAGTGGGAAAGAACGCCTCTTGGAAGCGGTCTGGGAGTAGATGACGGAGTGGGGGAGCTGGGGGGGCAGTGGACGGGAGACGCTGCTAGACCCAGCTGGCACTCGAACTTCTGATCACAAACGCAAAGTGTGATCAAGCAGCGAGGTGTTTGAAATCCGGTGTTCAAATACCTCTACGAGGGATCGTGTTCCCGGTAACAAAACTAACTCGCTTGACTGGACCGCTCCTCATTTAAAAGTAATTTCTCATTAGGAGAAAAATATACCAACGTCTTTATCTATCTCTGTATTTACTTATTTGTTGCCTGTCCTCTGAAAGGTAATAAATGGGAAGTTGCCCAAAGTGAGCCAGAGACAGAGAGAGAGGAGGAACAAGCCTTGTCAATCAGTCCTGAAAAACCAAAAGCATCCTCTTGACAAATGTCAGTAGTTACCATCATTGGTCTGTAGTTACCATTTTGTGCGAAACACTGTCTTCAGCCTTGAGGGGGTGAACGTAAGGCCACGTTCCTTCCCTTGTGGAAGGGAAATGATTTGCCAGGGTTGCTGATGAGCCTGGAGCCCAGACCATGCCCAGGTCCATGGATTTAGTTGTGAATCCAGAGAAGCATTGTTTTGGACTCATCTTAGGGTGCCTGGCTCATGCAAACTTGTCCTGTGCTTACGGGAAGGTGGAATCCATGTCCTCTCAGGTCTCGGGAGCCCCCCTGAGCTCCGCCTTGTACCCCGAAAGGCTGACATAAAGTCTGACACGGTCACTCTTGCTTTGCAGGGCTGGGGAGCCGAGTACCATCGCCAGGATGTCACGAGCACCCCCTGCTGGATCGAGATCCATCTGCACGGGCCACTGCAGTGGTTGGACAAAGTTCTGACTCAAATGGGCTCTCCCCATAACCCGATTTCGTCGGTGTCCTAGGGGCAGGCCTCAGCCCACACTCCCAGAGAGTCGCTGTTGTAGAGCTGGTGCCCGCCCAGGCTCACAGCTAGTCAGGTGCGTAGGGAGGTGTGTAAATACATGTAGTGCGTCCTGTCCGTCTGTTTCTCACCGTTTGTTTTGCAGTTAGCTCGATGCCATTCAGCACACCGAGGAAGCAGGTTCCGGGCCTGTGATGGGAGAGCTCAGGCCCGGGGAGGAAACACCGCTGCAGAATGAACGGCAGCGGTAGTCAGCCGTGTCCCTGTAAGGCATCGCGTGTGGCCTTCCAGAACAATCTAAGCTGTTCATAGAGCAGAAGGCAGGTGCCAGCAGCCCTCGAGTCAGACCAGCTAGAGCAATCAACGCGACACGGTTGGAATGCTCTCACTTTCAGTACAGGAAGAAAATACCAAGCTCGGGTAATCGGTTCTGTAAGATAAGACACACAAGCTTTCTCTCTGAAGTTGAAACGCATCCAGCTGGACGATGGTGCTCCTGTCAGCGGTTCATTTGAAACACGTCGCAACTGTGATCGGAAGGGAAAGAAACTGTGACGCTGAAGTCATGTCGCGTCGTGACCTACCCTGTAAGAAAAGGAACGCGGCTACTACGGCAAGATCGGGTGGAAATCACATGAAATGAGCTGTGTTCCTAAACTGCAAGACCGGAACTCAGTCCCAGAATCAGCCACAGAGGCTCCTGCTTCGCACACAGATGATGAGGTTCCTGTTCTGCCGGCCGCCCCCGCGGGTGTCTGTGGACTTCCGAGTGTGCCCAGGAGCCCCGAGGCCGCGCGTGCGGGCCCTGCGTGGGCTGCCGGGGCCTCGCCTGTTTACTTTGACCTTCTCACATTCCCATGTTAAGCCTCTCCAGGCGAACGCCCTCCGTGTGCTGAATCTTCCTCACCTGTTGGAAAATATTAACTCTTTATAGGTTACTAAGGCTATGGTGACGGCTTTGGGGGAAATAAAGACACATTGCTGGGATCAAATTTATGAGTTATGTAACATAGTGTCTCTATGCAATAAATCATCTCCTGGTCCAATCTGGTACCCTCTTATAAAGCTCAAGTCTCAGACTCGGAAGTACCTTCCCAAGTAAAGGGATATTGATTTCAGCATTTCTATAATTGCTGGGGGACAGTGGTACTGAACAATAGGACATTTAAAAAACGTGTTATTATTCACTCTTGGATAATAGAGAGGAAAACCCCCCAATTTTCTAGGTACTATCATATATGTATATATACATCCTGCCCACGAAACACTGCATTGCTTGGAAAAATACTTCACATCCACTTAAAATATATATAATTTAAGGAGGTAATTATGCTTGTGACAGATGCAGTAATCCAAGAGGTTATACATTGTATCTCAACTCCTTCCAGCATTAGTCACACAGTGGTTCTTTCTCGTTACATTGTATTCAAAGTAGAGACAACCACGTGGAAGGAGCTGCTGCACCTCTTCCCATGACTAGTGTTATCTGACAGGAACTTCCGTAGATACAGCAGAAAACAAAAACCACGTTCTCCCTGAAGACTGGTGGCCATTTAGTCTTAGAAGCCCTCGGCGCACGGGCTCCTCACTGTGCGTTTGCTCCTGTGCCAGGTACAGCGCAGGTGCTCGGACGGACCGCCAGCCGCCCTCTGGGCTGCGGCACAATAGTAACTCTTCCTGGGTCCACCTGCTTCAGAACGTGCAAAACGCAACAAGACGGGCCAACTTTCTTAGCTTAAAAAATGTAACTGATTTCTTAATTACCTCTGTTTCGAAACATATTTACTTTCTCTTCCGAGCGGTCAGGTCGTGGATGAAGGCTTCCTTGCGTAATTGGTACTTTTCTTCTGTGTTTCAAGGTAGTTTTCGTGTCCTGTTGCTTCTATTTTTTAATAAGTTTCTGTCCCCGCTTCTCCTTGGAAAGGGCATTGCTATGGCGACTTCCTCACACAGGCATCGGTACACGAGAGATCAGTCGGCTCACATGGCTTTGGTCCAGAGATCAAACAGCCCCCTTTCTTTTTCTTTTCTTTTTTTCATCCTCACCTGAGGACATTTTTGCATTTATCTTCAGATAGAGCAGGAGGGACTAAGGGAGGAAGAGAGAGAAAGAAATTGAATCAATGTAAGAGAGACACATCAAGTGGTTGCCCCCACACAACCCCAACTGGGGGCGGGGACAAACCGCAACGGAGGTACGTGCCCTTAGTGGGAACTGAACCTGGGACTCTCTGGTCCACGGGCCAGTGCTCTAACCGCTGAGCCAAACCGTCCAGGGCCAAACATAGCTTTCTTGATCAATATTATCCTCTGATAATCTTATACCTTCACAGAGTTCATCAGAACTGCTTATTTATAAATGGCATTTAAAAAAAACTTTGAGTTGCATACAGTTTTGGACGGTGTCCAGTGAAGCTGAATTATTTGTTTGAAAAATAAATGGTTGAAACGGTCCATCCGCATCATCATCATCATCAGTCCTGTCTCGGCAACGCCTTCCCTGGGATGTGTGAGGTGCAGAGAATTTAGAATTAAGGAGGAGTTGACCCTTCAGTCAGTGCAACATAGTCATATTTTAATGAGCCTTTAAAAAACATTTGCCCTGGGCAGTTTGGCTCAGCGGTTGAGCGTCGGCCTGTGGGCCAGAGAGTCTCCTGCTAGGGGCACGTACCACAAAAGAAAAAGAAAAAACATATGCTAGTGAAAGTTGTCAAAAGCTGTAATGCAGTATTTGATTATTGATTTACAGATGTGCTCATTGCATTTTTTTATTGTCCTTGAAGTAGACAATAAAAAAGTGTCCTCGCGTTCTTTCGGAGGATAGCTAGCTGAGTGCACATGCTAAACCAGGAAACGCACCAGCGATGCTGAACTTGGACGCTGTTACCACGGACAAGGGCTGTGTAATAGCGCATAGTAACACTTTGGCCTGCTCCCGGGACCCAGAACTGTATTCTGCTGTTCAAGCCTGTGTTTTTTTATTTTCTTTATTTTTTAATTGAGATGTGAAAAGTGTTAGAGGATATTGTAATACCTGCCAGTGCTTTGGAACCACAAAGATGTCCTTGTTCAACACACTGATTTTGTGTTTTATTTTTTTAGTACTCATATGTCAGGAAAATTTGGGATATAACCTAATTTCCTTTCCGTTGTCTTCTAAGGAACTGAATACCCCATAACAAGAACACACGCATTTTATAAATATCACATGCTACACTTGAAGCACCTGCTTAACTTTAATGTGCCCTGATCACTTGTGTATGTAGTAAATAAGCAAAATATAACATGCATTCCAAATTGTGTCTTTCCGTTACGATTTAACAGCATTCAAGATTAAGTGATCCTGACATATGCTAAGGATAAGTTCAAATTAATGTCAAACAGAACTACTTCTACTTAAGCCACGTTTTTTATTATAATATCTAGATTTCAACTCTCCTTCAGTGCACACTTGTACTGTTATCCAATTGTTTATAATAAAGAACACTGTACCTACATGTCGTTGGCTGATTTTTCACTGCAAACCTTACGGCGGAATTCACGGTACATGGGTCCTTAGAATGACTGATCTTGAAATGTCTGGTTTTGAAAACTAAAAGTGGTTTTACATGGAGCATCTTGGGATGACTAGCATTAACTATAGGATCTTGAAGATACTACAAGACACTGTGATGTTATTTAGAGAGGATATGCATAGAAGCTTTTGTTTCCTTCTGAAGAGTTGAGGGTGGGGGTTGGTGGATGAACACAGTGCCCCCTTGAGGTGTGCACTCCCGCGGGCCGGCCCACCAAGGACACAGATGCGTGAGAAGTAATGGGGTGGAGAGCCGCCCTCGAGGGAGCGATGCGTAGCCCGAAAGCTGGGTGGGCAGAGGCGCTGTCTCAAGGACACGAGGTGCAGGGACCTAGGGAGCCGCTTTGCAGATACGCTGGCTGCATCCGGAGACGGGAGCACTTGCTCCTCACGCTGCTCCCGCCCTCCAGGCCTGGGTGCTGGTGGTTCATTGGCTGCATCCGGAGACGGGAGCACGTGCTCCTTACGCTGCTCCCGCCCTCCAGGCCTGGGTGCTCGTAGTTCATTGGCTGCATCCGGAGACGGGAGCACTTGCTCCTCACGCTGCTCCCGCCCTCCAGGCCTGGGTGCTCGTAGTTCATTGGCTGCATCCGGAGACGGGAGCACTTGCTCCTCACGCTGCTCCCGCCCTCCAGGCCTGGGTGCTCGTAGTTCATTGGCTGCATCCGGAGACGGGAGCACTTGCTCCTCACGCTGCTCCCGCCCTCCAGGCCTGGGTGCTGGTAGTTCATTGGCTGCATCCGGAGACGGGAGCACTTGCTCCTCACGCTGCTCCCGCCCTCCAGGCCTGAGTGCTGGTAGTTCATTGGCTGCATCCGGAGACGGGAGCACTTGCTCCTCACGCTGCTCCCGCCCTCCAGGCCTGGGTGCTCATAGTTCATTGGCTGCCTCCGGAGACGGGAGCACTTGCTCCTTACGCTGCTCCCGCCCTCCAGGCCTGGGTGCTCGTAGTTCATTGGCTGCATCCGGAGACGGGAGCACGTGCTCCTTACGCTGCTCCCGCCCTCCAGGCCTGGGTGCTCGTAGTTCATTGGCTGCATCCGGAGACGGGAGCACGTGCTCCTTACGCTGCTCCCGCCCTCCAGGCCTGGGTGCTCGTAGTTCATTGGCTGCATCCGGAGACGGGAGCACTTGCTCCTTACGCTGCTCCCGCCCTCCAGGCCTGGGTGCTCGTAGTTCATTGGCTGCATCCGGAGACGGGAGCACGTGCTCCTTACGCTGCTCCCGCCCTCCAGGCCTGGGTGCTCGTAGTTCATTGGCTGCATCCGGAGACGGGAGCACTTGCTCCTCACGCTGCTCCCGCCCTCCAGGCCTGGGTGCTCGTAGTTCATTGGCTGCCTTGACCCCGGCCTCTGGGCGTCGGCCTGGGCATCCAACCAGGGGCTCGAGCACACGCACCGAAATCACGAACACGCAGGGCGTGATCCTTGAGCAGCAGCGTGACG